GACTGGCTGAATGCGCGCGCGGCTCCTGCCGCGCATGCGCATTCAGCCGATGACGGCGTTATGGAGGAGGAGAGCTCCCCGCCCGGCGCTGGAGAAAGAGGTAAATTTAACCCCTTCCACCCCCTAGAGTCCGGCGGGAGGGGGCCCCTGAGGGTGGGGGCACCCTCAGGGCACTATAGTGCCAGGAAAACGAGTGTTTTCCTGGCACTATAGTGTTCCTTTAAGTGGTAGAAGGTTTTTTTTATTATCTTATGCATCACAGGTAGATGGGGCTTTGTTTTCCTGGCACTGTAGTTTCCTTTTAACAAACAGTTTAACACCAAAGTGCTATTTCTGTCACAGTATGGAGCTTGAATCAGGAAGCTTTGGACTGGGAGTCCCTAATAGGTCTCCTCCCCTTAGAATGCAGCCATATAGAGAATAATGCACAGAACACTTCTAAAGTAGCTATAGATTCCAGCTAAAGTATTACCTTACATCGTCCCCCTATAATAAATTCATGGTTCATTTGTAGTTTTGGACCGTTGACATCCATTTACTTAATATTAACAGTTTAGTTTGGGAGGCCAGTGCGGATTTTCAAACTAATGGCCTCTTATTTGCTTTATGCAATTCATTCCAATATCATCACATTTCTCCTTCAAATTACAGACACTTAAAAAAATCCCAAATCACAGCATTAAAGGAGCAATCCAAACACCATTGCTCCCATTACCTTTCCTGAGCTAAGCCCTTCAGTGAAGATCCAGTTCATTCTCTGTGAGTGATAGCTCATCACTGCCCTGCAAACTGTTCTATAGTGATTTGACACCTTACATTGGGGGATGAGGGGGCATAGTGGGCTGTAGTGGTTATGGTGCTGTAGTGTTCCTTTAATTGTTGCGAAGGGAGATTTTTGTTGGGGGGGGGGTCTTATGTAGTTGTCTTTTACTTTCAGGGTTACTCACTAGTGTGAGAATTTAGGGTGAATTCAAAGTGAATTTCAAATGTAAGGTCAAAATTGCAGAAATGGAAAAAAAGTTATCTGTGCTTTCAGTTTGGCTAATCTGGCCTTAAATTTGAAATTCATTTCTAATTCACTTTGATTTCTCACTTTAGTAAATAAGCCTGTAGGTGTGATGCCTCACGGCAGAGATTGAGTGGGAATATATTCTATTCTTGTTGGTAGGAGGTTTTGTAAAGGAAAAAGGTCAATTGCTGGTACCACCACCACTGATTGTTTTTGCTTATGCCATCGGGTGATGGAGTTAAATCTGGCTAAAAGCTTTTAACGATAGAAAGTAACGCCTGTTATAGTCTGGGTACTAGACTGCCCTCTGGTGTCTCACCTGAAAACTACACGTTATTATTTATATTCTGTTTTTCAAATAATTCAGATAAGCAGTAATAACTAAAAACACCCACTGTCCGTCTGAAAGTTAAAGAATGGGCATAAAATAGCTCAGAGCTTGTTTATAATAGCATCGTACAAAATACTTTTTTTGTGAGGCATCTGCTAAATAGCAGTTAGCAATCTCATTTTGAAACTTTGGGAAAATATATTTTGAACAGTTTGTGCTAATTACTTTGAGCCACACTGAGTATCCATTTAAACATATATTTTATATCATACCCATAAAAAGATGCACATGATCTGCAATTTTTTTATTTATTTTTTTATTTTTTTTTACAAATGAGTCTCTGCTGTTATATAATTATGTTATTTATGTCAAGAAAACATCTCCCACACCATTACACTAAAGATGGCACAATGAAAGATGAATCCTGGGAATCGAGTAGTTTATGCTAAATTCTGATCATACTCCGTGGTGGTTGGTGACGTTTTTCAATCTTTAGTTGTCTAGTTTTGGTGACCATGAGTCCACTGTCCCTCTTTATTCTCTTTTTAACTGAGGACAGAGGCACCTATTGTCACCATGATTAGACTTGCTTTGTTCAGATTTTTCCGTCAGTGCACTAATGGCCATTTTTGTTAAAAGGTGTTTTAAACCAGAGAACAGCCACTCTTGTTGATCATCCAATTCTCTGTCAATTTGTTGACCATGTCTTCATGCTTTATACGATGAGCTGCAGTTACACGATTAGCTGTGTGGCTGTTTTTAGTAACATACAGTTTTTCTGGCACTTAGATTCTATTACCTATGTATGTGAAGGTTTTTTTGTGTGATCCCCAATTTTCTAGTAAGTGTACATTAAAGATTTAGCAATTCACATCTCAATCCTATTCAATCCTGGCACAGCCAGGGTTCATATCGAGTTTGAGGTTGGGAAACTGAAACATTTCGGATTTGTTTTCTTGTGAGATTTGTTTTGTGAAAAGGGGTGAAAGTTTTTTAAAAGGGGAGGAGTCTCTGATAGAATGTGATTCTTGGTTTCGCTGGTTTTCCCCACTTTTAGTACTTTGCACGCTTTTTCCAGAGCACAACAGTTTGATAAATCTCCCCCATTGTTTCTGTTTACTCTCCTCTCTCTATGCTGACTGCCAAGTTTATAACAGTGATTGATGGAGAGCCAAAATGGAGGCACACATTTCCAAGGCAGAGCTGAACATTACAGTGTGTGTTTCTACATTTAATAAAAATTTTCATACGTCACAGATTCATGTTAAATAAATATATGAAATAAGTAAATATAGTATTTAAAAAACTGTGAAGTTACAGTTACCCTTTAAATGACACTCAAAGCACCAGAATCACTGGAGCTGCTGCTTGCACACTGATTTCTTTCTTATTTATGAACATATTTTTAAGGTTCTTCACACAATGAAAGTCTTTGTCACATGCACATTATAACGCACAGCAGAAACAGTAGCCTATACTCCCACAAAGGCTAAACTTGGCACCCAAAATGTTCCTCTGTCTTTTTGAGCATCATGGCAAATTAAGTTTACAAAAAAATTTGGAGTTGCTTAGATTAGCCATACTTGCTCTACCGCAGATAAATGGCATTAGCATAGCAACAGCAAAAACATATGTGAGGAACGCTGAATTTGATGGACTCAAGTCTCTTTTCAGCTATGTAACTATGTAACTATGTCATTATTTCTACCAAGGTCATCTGTTGCTCTGCTTAGAAAATAATAGTGCACCTCAGTCTTACAAATTAAGCAGGAATCAGTTTACTGACCAAGTTAACGCAAAATCAGCAATAATGTTACATGTCCCCTTTTCTGCATTATCATGGGCAACGATTGGCACCTTAGAACGAGCAGAATAGGATGCGTAGGCTCTGTGATGCCGGGAGAGGCTTAGCTGTAGTCAGAATACACTTTTGCCCTGTAGAAAAGGAATTCCGTCATTCCAGTAATACTGCCATAAGAATTACATAACGCAATCGTATTTCATATAAAAAATAGTAAAATAGCGACTTTCTGGTAAATCCCTTCATGTAATGTTATATCCTTCCTGGACTAGAAATTCTCAATAACTGCAGGAAGACGCTTTATATTCTTTTTGATCAGACCTACTATTTTCCAGTGGAGATAGTTCTGTTCTTTAAAGGATCACTATAGTGTCAGGAAAACAAAGTGGTTTTCCTGACACTATATAATCCTTGGGGGACCCTCACCTTCAGGGTACCCCTCCCGTGGTGCTGACCCCTTCAGCCACTTACCTTAGCCACTTCAGCCACTTAGCTTCAGCCATTTACCTTATTCAAGCGCCGGATTCCCTCGGTGCTGGTGACCTCTCCTCCCCTGCCGTCAATGCTTTCCTATGGACGCTCTGCGGCTCTAGTGGCTGTCTGGAAGACAGCCACTAGAGGCTGGCTTAACCCCAAATGTAAACATAGCAGTTTCTATGAAACTGCTATGTTTACATCTGAAGGGTTAAAACCTGAGGGACCTGGCACCCAGACCACTTCATTGAGCTGAAGTGGTCTGGGTGACTATAGTGTCCCTTTAAAGCATCACCGGTACAAACTGATTTCAGACGATTCAAGGCTCTACTCCTAAAAGTATCAACAGACTTTCACCAGCTGAGGTCTATAAAATGAAGACCATTTAGTTGGGTAATGTTAATTCTTAACACAAGGACATGTTTGAAATGATAAATAAATCAAAATTTCTGCTTCCTTTAACTTTTATATTTAGAGATGATTGTTAGATTTGAAATATGTGTTTTTGGAAAATTACAGTTTATGGAATACTAATAGTACCAAGTATTGTTCCCAAAGAGACACTTTACTTCCCAAATGCCAAAATATAGTAATATATATATAGATATAATTTTTTAAATTTGATTACTATTTAGTACATAAACCTCCAATAAAAAATATGCATGCTCCACTGAGCTAAACAACAAGTAAGTAATTGGACCAGTTTTCTGATTGACAGCCAAGGGGGTGTAACCCGGTTTATTTATAAAAGTGCCAATTTTGGGGGCGGAGCTGGACGTCTGAACAGAATGGCCGGCAATTCTCAGAGTTCCTACAAACTGGCACCTAACCAACTAATCTGCGGTCCCACAGAGCCATCTTAGGCACCCCGCAAGTGCAGGCTAACTACTGATGCCGTTTCTGTTCCCGCGAGTGGGCAAGAAAACCCGACGGAGATCTGGGGCTTACCCAACTTCCACACCACATCGGAGCTATCAGTCTGGACTGCTGACATATCAGGTACACCCCAGCCTCTGAACAGACCCTCTCTCTGTGAGGCCGACAACATGGGCAGGAGATCCCAAAGACCGCAACCGGGTGCACATAAAGACACCCAGGACATAAGTGCCTTGCTACAGCGCTCTGTAGCCTCCAAAATGGCGGCCTCGCCAGACGGAGGACATACTCCACGTGGCTCAGACGACATAATGGAGGACCTAGAGGAACCTCACATACCCCGACCTCCTAGCCAAACTTGGGGGACAGGAAAAGCTGACCCCGGACACAAAGCAGGACATTGCTGACCTGCTGCAGGAGATAAGGCAGATGCATGCCGCTGACATAGACCTACTGCGCACCGAAATGCAAGCAGTGACAGACAAACCACTGAGGAGGACATCCTGGATATGAGACAGGAGGTAACATGCTTAAAGGAAACGGTCCAACAGCTACTGACATCCCACTCTACCTTGATAACTAGAGTAGATCTGGCTGAAGAGCGTAACAGATGCACCAAACTTAAGCTAAGGGGCATCCCTGACTCCATCAACATTACCGAACTGCCCCATTACCTCTGCCGCCTCACTAACATGCTTCTCCCGCACAGTCAGGCGAAGAAAATTTTATTTGACGGATTTTTTCGAATCAAGAAGCCCAGGCAGGCACCAACCACGGCCTCTCAAGATGTCATTATCCGTTGCCAATCTCTGACGGACAAAAATCGTATTATAGCTGCAGGTCGAGGAAAAACTCCAATGACCTTTGAATCATCCCAGATCTCCTATCAAAATCTGACATGTAACACCTTACTGTGGCGTCGGTCAATGGGCCCAGTGACACACCAGCTACATCAAGCCGGCATTGATTACAGATGGACAATTCCCAGAGCCCTAACAGTAAACAAAGAGGGCACCATACTGAGACTGTCCTCATTGGACAAAGCGGAGCGCTTCCTCCAAGCACTGGGGATTCCCCCTAAATCCAGGCAACCAGCAACCTCCTTGGCCTCACCTTCCTGGGACCCTTCGTCCTCAGGGGTGGAGAAGAGAAAGGGACACTAACTTGAATCACCTATTTGACTCAGTAATCCTATAATGCCTTCGTACCTTACTCAATAACCTTACTATGTTATATCTTTTTTAGTTTAATGCTGTTTTTTCTTTGGTTTTTAAGTTTCACATATAAAAATTACTGCAGCTCAGCATAGCTAGATAGGAAAAAACCTACTCTCACACGGTTTCACAAACCACAGTTAGGGCTCTCAACAGCCGAGAGAGACACAAACTCTCAAACATACAGACCCCCACCGGTACCCCTTTATGGTTCAGAGTCGAGACCTTATGGTACTTCATCACACACGGTTCACGAACCATAGCATGACACAGAACACAAGCAAACACCTTCTCTACACTCACTCGACTAGGCTGATACCTTCAACGACCACCTACCCTGGTAGCATTACAATCTGGAGGGACGACCCACTAATTCAGGCATAGCGAAGACAGCCACTGCCTGCCTAAAGCAACTACAGGTTTGCCCCCCCCCCCCACCTTTACAAAGCTATCCCGGTCACACACCCAGAGGGTACAGTTGAGGGATCTGTCCTACACTCTAAGCATATAATGTATGTACCTTGCATGATCTCACTCGCTAGACAATCACATTGGGGCAGTTTGGGATCACCTCATCAAAAACCCAAGTTAAACCTAACTATTACAATTTTTTTTGCTGCCCAGCATCAGGCTGACTTCCACAAGGCTCCTTCTTGTTACACCTCACATTTTAACTTGCCTAATATGTGTTCTAGGCAGTAACTAAATTGTGAGCAGAGAATGCATAGGTATAACCATGTAAAGGCCTACAATGCCCTGAGCTCACGCAGCGCTTACACTTACATCAGAAGGGCCTTCACCACGCTTTTCCATTTAATCGTCTAGACTACTTATTCTTGCATGTTAACACTTATCTAAATGTCATACACTAACCTAGCGTGTTTAACCCTTATTATTATAAAAGGAGGTCAATTTCTTAGGAGTATATATTACTGTATATTATATGTGTAGTCGTGTATTATCAATTGAAGATATAACCCCCAATGTCTTATTTCTGTACCGTTTACTATGTGCCTCAAATAAAAAAGAGATTGATACAAAAAAAGTGCCAATTTCAATTGAAATCTGCATCTTCTACACAGATACACAGTATTCCTTTAACCCTTATTGCTGCATGTGGACAACCCGTGGCATATGTTTTATGTCCCAACAGTTATTGAAATTTATAGCATTGCTACTCTATACATAACTGCAATTATGGGTTGGCAATTGATGAAGTTGTACCCAGTAAAACGCGCATTGGGATTGGCAGGACTGAATTACCAGAACCTGGATAAGTGCACTTACTATATGTGTGTTGACTTGTTTTGATAGTTTTTAATGTTTGTTACTTTAAATAGTGTTACAATAAATACTTGCCTTTAGCACTTCTGGCTGTCCTACTGTTCCAGGACCATTGTTTAAGTAGTGCCACCCCACAATCTGACACTAGGTGCTTTTACCCTAGATATAGGGAAATTTATTAGAAAGGGTAAGAGTTTCTATATCACTATATTTTAAGTATCTGTATGTGGATAAACTACACTATTATTCCCTATTCCCTATCTACATTTCTATTTGATCTGAGAGTGAACATTCTCCTCCGTGTTGCCTCTATCTGTGCAATTATTGAGCCATATAATTTGGGCTCTAATAAATGTGAGTTTATTCATATCCTGCACATTCCACTTTTTTTCAGTACCATCTACACTATATGTTGTTATTTTTTGTTTTACATGTGTTATGATATTGTTGAGACTTCCACAACGTTTTGTTCGGGGTAAAAATACCTACTGCATGTGATTTTATTTTATAAGTTATAAACTTATAAACTTTTATAAACACCTGTACTTTTGTATGAGATTAAAGGTGAGGGATGGAAGGTGTCCCTTCACTTGTGTTTTAGAGCTGCTTGTTAGATCACATATATTTTAACTGTTTTGTTGAAGCGCTTCACGACACTTACTCCCAGAGAGTTTTTATTTTCAGATTTACAATATCCACTTGTGGCTAAAAGTTGTGTATTTATGTTTAGGTTTCAGTGGAACTGTAATTGCTGCAAATATGGCTGCTTCCTCCTCATCTAACATTGAAGACGAAAGTTTAAAAGGCTGTGAAATCTACGTTCAGAAATATAACATCCAGCAGATACTGAAGGAATGTATTGTGAACCTGTGCATCGCCAAACCAGACCGTCCTATGAAATTCCTCAGAGATCACTTCGACAAATTAGAGAAGGTGCGTATTTTCGTAATTGAGCCAATTCCAATGCAATATATTTCATACGTCCTATATAATATGAGACAGTTGTGCTTATTTACTGGAAATCAAAATGAGAGAATATTTTACACAGTTGTGTTATGTCTGCATTTCACGTTTCTTTTATATTAGTTATCTTGTTTTGATTATAATCCCAAGGCAGGGGCGATAAAACAAAGCAGATCCCTGGCTGTTTTAGAACTGCTCCCATAATACTTTGCAAGCTACCAATGACAGTACCTTGAAGTACCAGCATGGTGACCTCTTGTGGCTGCCAGACCAACAGTCACTAGAGGCACTTTCTCTATAAGAAACGTCAGATTTTGGAGCATGGCAATTGCCTTTCATGAACAGTGTGTATGTAAAGAGACACTCCACTGCAAAAAAAATATATAAATATCTGGGGTTGGGGGGAGTAACAAGATTTATTTAACAAGAGCTTAACTTCTGTGACTGGGAAAATATTTGAAGGGCTATTAAGGGATATTATTCAGGAATTCATTGGGAAGAACTTTGTTATTAGCATGGTTTTATGAAACATAGGTCATGTCAAACTAACCTAATTGCATTCTACGAAGAAGTAAGTAGAAGTATAGATCAGGGTGTTGCAGTGGATGTGATCTACTTGGATTTTGCCAAGGCATTTGATACTGTTCCTCACAATAGGTTAGTCTTCAAACTAAAAGAAATTGGTCTAGATGAATATTCTTGTTCTTGGGTAGAACATTGGCTTAAGGATAGAGTACAACGAGTTGTCATTAATGGTAAATTTTCAGGCTTGACAAAAGTGGCAAGTGGTGTCCCTCAGGGTTCTGTATTGGGACCGCTTCTTTTTAAGATATATATAAATGATCTTGAAATACGCATTGAAAGCCATGTATCAGTGTTTGCAGATGACACAAAACTTTGTAAAGTATTAAAATGTGAGCAGGATATTGCTTTGCTGCAGAGGGATTTGGATAGATTGCAGGACTGGGCACTAAAATGGCAGATGAAATTTAACGTAGAGAAATGCAAAGTTATGCACTTAGGGGTCAAGAATGCACAAGCAACTTACACCCTAAATGATAGTGAATTAGGGATAACCACACACGAGAAGGATTTGGGAATTATTATAGACAAGAAATTAGGCAGCAATATGCAATGTCAATCTGCAGTTGCTAAGGCCAGTAAGGTGTTGTAATGTATAAACAGGGGCATAAATTCTCAGGATGAAAATGTACTTTTGCCTCTTTATAAATCACTGGTTAAACCACACCTTGAATAAGTGGCGTACAAACAATACATGGGGCCCCGGTGCGAAACTGATCCGTGATATTCGGGGCCAGTACAAACCATTATCTGGAAATCTATTCATAAACAGGGCTATACATAGAACACAAGGTCACACATTTAGGCTGGAAGAAAGGAGATTTCATCTAAGGCAAAGAAAAGTTTTTTTTACAGTAAGAGCAATAAGGATATGGAATTTTCTGCCTGAAGAGGTGGTTTTATCAGAGTCCCTACAGATGTTTAAACTGCAATTGGATAAATACTTGCAAAAACAAAACATACAGGGATAACATTTTTAATTAGTGGGGTAAGGGCGGAGACTAGCAACTGAGCTGAACAGCCGCATGGCAAAAGAGCTCCTGCATTTTCAGGCCTAAATCTACCTATTTTGCACAACTAACTTCATATTGGGCTACCCTCAGGGACTGCTGGCGACAAGGCAAGAAGATGGGTCGCAAGACCAAGAAATTAAGACCGGATAAACTGTGGCAGGGACCAAATATTGCTGAACTCCTACGGCAGACACGCAAAGCTACTGGGCCCAAGATGGCCACCTACCTAGAAACTTACTCCGAGCTATCGGACGATTTCTCCTAGGGGGAAGAGGCAGCAGACTTACCACCTGTGCAGAGACCAGCACCAGCCACCCAGAAAGCATATGCTTCACTGGTGACTATGGCAATCCTGAAGTCGCTCCTCGCAGACCTCCAGAAAAACATCCAGGCAGATGTTGCCTCGCTCCGCAATAACATACACGGTCTGACAGGCCGAATGGGAGCCTTGGAGACTGCCTCCAGTGTCTGCTCTGACCAAATCACCTCACTAAAGCAAGTGGTCCAGGGACTTCAGAAACAAAACGAGGCGCACAAGCGCCGTTTTGTAGCCCTGGAGGACCCACACCTGGCTAACAATATCAAAGTCCGGGACATCCCTGAGGACACCCCACCGGCCGAAATGCCGCATTTGCTAAGACGCCTACTAGCGGCCCTTTTATCATCACGGCAGGCTAAAGCAATTACCTTGGATGGCTTCTTCCGGGCCCCAAAGCAGGCCTCGGCACCAGCCGCAGCGTCACGGGACCTCTTCATGCGGTTCCATAATTACACAGACAAAACCGCAGTATTGGCAGCGACCAGGGACTGTTCCCTCTACAAATGTGCATCGATAGAACTATCTTTTTACACGGATCTCACTGGGGACACATTGGCATGGCTGAGGTCGCTCGGACCACTCACTGCGCTCCTGCAGAAACGCGGATTAAAATATAAATGGCACCAAACTCGCACACTGCAGATCCTGCACAGAGAAGTCAAATATGAGGTACGGGACCTCCAGGAAGCTAGAGCTTTACTGCCTACACTGGGACTTCCACATGATTTTCTGCTTACCATTGAGCCCCAGGGAGCAACCAAGCTGGCACACAGATGGAACCCTGAAAG